AAATCTGAAATCCGTCAAGTTCAAAATTAAGCTTTCAAGCTCTTGAACCATCATCCGTGAGGAGAAGAATCAGAGAACTACATCTCTTTAGATTTAGAGATATTTTAGAGATTGTAACCCCATCACTTGGAATTGAATATAATATTTGTCGCTATATTTCTTGTCTTGATTATTTTTTTTCAGGAGCAAAATTTAGTCGTTACAAATTTTGGCACGCCCAGTGGGACCATCTCTACCTGTCATCTCTTCTCAACTCTTAACATTCAAGATCACTAAGATGGCTTCAAAGAAGATCGAAGTTGCTGACTCCAAGTTTTCTTCTGACGTTGAAAGTATCCTAAACGTTACTATGGGGAGTCTTGGGCCAATCACCCGGAGCAAGGCGAGCGTCTTGGGGCAACAAGCACTCCAAGTGTCATCTGCACCAATGCATGCTTTGAGATCTTCATCATTCGAAGAAGAAAGGTCCTCTGCTAGCAAGTTAGAGAGAGAAGATAATATTGCAGAAGTTGTGGAGAAAGCTCTTGCTCAACTTACTTTATACAATACCAAGAGTCAGCTTACCCAACCTGATGATGAAGTCTTATGTGTTGGCTCTAGGCCAATCTCACCACATGACATGTTCCAAACTGAGTTCAATCTGTGGGAAGGTCTCAGTTATTCTTCATCATCTGCAATAATCATGGAGGCAATGATGACTAACACTTCGACAATGGAGGAGCAACTTGCAAACCTGACAAAGGCAATTGATGGGTTAACAAAGTATTCTCAAGATCAAGATGTCTGTATCGCAAAATTGACAGGCATAGTTGAAAGCATGATGGATGGAGAATCAAGTCATGCACCTGGAAAGCTTCCTGAAGTCCACGAGAAGGCTGATCCTCCAACAAAACAAGTGTCATCCGCCAAAGAACTTCATGTCTCCTCTGAAGGATCAATTCCCATAGAACAATTGAAGGAATTCATTATGGGAACTATCAAGGATAAGTATGAGGTCGCTTCAAAGTCTTCTCTCACGTACGCAAAGCCGTATACTGCAAGAATCGATAGCCTGAAGATGCCCGGCGGCTATCAACCTCCCAAATTTCAACAGTTCGACGGCAAGGGAAATCCAAAGCAACATGTTGCGCACTTTGTTGAGACATGCAACAATGCAGGGACTTATGGAGATTACCTTGTCAAGCAGTTCGTCCGCTCACTAAAGGGGAATGCTTTTGATTGGTACACCGACCTCGAGGCTGGATCCATTGATAGTTGGGACCAATTGGAGCAAGAGTTTCTCAATCGCTTTTATAGCACGAGGCGTACTGTGAGCATGGTGGAACTTACAAAAACTCGCCAACAAAAAGATGAACCAGTTATTGACTTTATCAATCGATGGAGGAATGCAAGCCTTAACTGCAAAGATAGGCTAAGCGAAGCTTCTGGCATAGAGATGTGCATCCAAGGAATGCTTTGGGGACTTCGTTACATCTTGCAAGGAATTAAGCCCAGGACATTTGAAGAACTTGCCACCCGTGCTCATGATATAGAGTTGAGCATGGCTTCTGCGGGAAACGAAGGGTTGTCCATCTACGAACCTCACAAGGGAAGAGATAAGCAAGAAGTCAAGAAATGGAGCAACTTCGTACCCAAAAATGAAAGCAAAGAATCCATGAACGTCAATGCCTCTCCTTTGAAGTTTACTACCAAGGCGAGCAAGAAACAGAGTATAAAAACAACTTCCTCTCAAGACAATGCAAATCAGAAGTTGACTCTCAAAGAGATGCAAGAAAAGGAGTACCCATTCTAGACTCCAATGTGCCTGCAATATTTGAAGAACTCCTCGAGTTAAAGCTTATTGAGCTGCCAGAGATGAAGTGACCAGATGAAGTTGGAAAAAGCAATGACCCGAATTACTGCAAATACCATCGGCTTGTAGGTCACCCTCTTGAGAAGTACTTTGTTTTCAAGGACAAAGTTATGGATTTGGCTCGTCAAAAGAAGATCGAGCTCGAATTCAAAAAAGCAAGCACAAACCATGTGTCCATTACCTTTGGCTCATTCGATCTGATTGAGATATGCACCTGTGAAGGGAATGAAGATGAAGTACTGTTGGAGGATGACAAAGTCCAAGTTGATCAACCTGATGAAGAAGGATGGACCCTGGTGACTCGTCGAAGACACCGTAAATTGAGTCTGCAAAAAGGATTAACGAAGCAACCGACGAGGAATAAGATGGTGAGAAGACTAAAGAAGCTACAAATTGTTAAGAACACAAAGAAGGTGGAGATAGAGACACTCCATCACCAAAAGTCATGCCACCCGGTGACTTTGGGAGAATTTTTGCCAAGTTGGTTTCGCACGAGGATTTCTGACGATGATGATAAGGCCTTATGTTGTAATGCTGATAAAGAAGAAGAGGAAAAGAATGAAGTCAAGTCAACACTCTCACCATCACTGTCTAATAGTCTTGTTGAGTCCTCCTTCCGAGAAGCAGATGTCTGTAATACAAAAATCACCTTCACTGAAGACGATCTCCTACTTGGTGAGACACCACACAATCGCCCTTTGTTTATGGTGGACTATGTGCTCGAGAGGAGGATAAACAGAATCTTGATAGATGACGGATCTGCAGTTAATATTCTTCCCATTCGCATAATGAAAGAACTCGGCATCTCAACTGAAGGACTTTCTGAAAGACGACTGATGATTCAAGGATTCAATCAAGGAGGACAAAGGGCCATATGAGCTATCAAGCTGGAAATCGCCATGGGAGATATGCAATCAACTGCATGGATGCATGTGATCGATGCAAAGACTTCATACAATTTGTTGCTTGGCAGGCCGGGGATACACGAGAACAAAGTTGTCCCATCAACTTACTACCAATCTTTGAAATATAATAAAGATGGAGTCGAAAATAAGATAGTTGCTGATAACAAGCCATTCTCTGAAGCCGAGGCATACTTTGCTGATGCAAAGTTCTACTTGAAGAACCACATCATGAAGGGAGTAAAAGTTGATGACATCACGAAGGCCAAAGGCAAGAAAATAGCTCCTTTATTTCGTTATGTCCCAAAAGTGAAGAAAGATGAAGGAGAATCATCAAGCCTGCAAAAAGGTGCACTAAGAGAATTAACCCTTCCTATCAAGCAGATTGATACCATAAAGTTATCTTCAAAGCTATTGGAAAATTTTGTGGCCCCTAACATGCCTCAAAATAAGGCACTCCCTATGAAACACACAAATGAAGGTTTTGATCTGAATGCTTACAGGTTGTTCGCAAAGGCTAGATATGATCCCAATGAACCATCTAAGTTAGGAAAGCTCCCACCTGAAGCTACTAGGAAAGCAAACACGATGAAGGATAATGAGCATATGGTGAAGCAATCACGTGAGGGTCTAGGTTACAAACAACCCCCACCAGTTTGCATCTCCATTGGAAGAGCAAGTATTAACTATATCACGACGGAAGATGAACCCGCTGATCCTAATAAAAGGCCTTCTGTCTTTGATCGACTTGGAGAACCAACTACAAGAACTTCTGTATTTGAGAGGTTGGGACCATTGAAAAGGAAGAAGAATAAGTCCCAAAGAAATTATGAAAAGATAAGAAGACCTTTGCTATCTAGAGTCCAAAGTATCTCCAAAGAGTGTCACAGCCTGGTACCTTCCAGAATGAGGCGACAATCAGAACTTTTGATTTCATGCGGAGAGGTACTCAAAGTGAAGACTCGCACAGTGGTCCACACTAGAGAGCGTGACGAAGATGAAGAAAGTGTAGGATCTTCATATCACCTTACTGCAAATGAGGAGCAATACACTTCATCCCTAAGGAAATTTGACGAATATTTGGGAGATGCCTCTTGGTGTGGCCATATATCTTTTAATGATGGTGATCCTCAAAAAGACGAAGATGCCGAGGACGCTCCTGCGGAACTAGAAGAAGGAATTAAAATGACAGTTGATACATTAAAAGAAGTCAACCTTAGCACTGCAGAAGACTCCAGGCCCACCTATGTAAGGGCCCTATTAACCACAGATGAAGAAAACACTTATGTGGAGCTACTCAAATAATATAGAGATGTCTTTGCTTGGAGCTACAAAGAGATGCATGGTTTAGATCCTAAGGTATCAGTTCATCATCTCTCAGTCAAGAAAGGAGCTCGTCCTGTTAAGCAAGCCCAAAGACGCTTCAAGCCAGAATTGATCCCATCAATCAAAGCCGAGGTCAATAAACTCATCGAAGCTGGTTTCATTTGGGAGGTTAAATATCCTTCATGGGTTTCAAGCATTGTTCCTGTGAAGAAGAAGAATGGCCAAATTAGAGTTTGTGTCGATTTTAGAGACCTCAATAATGCATTCCCTAAGGACGAATTTCTGCTCCCCATTCCAAAGCTTATGATTGATGCCACCGCCGGATACGAGGAGATGTCTTTCATGGACGGATCATCCGGCTACAATCAAATACGTATGACATCAAAAGATGAAGAGCTTACTGCGTTTCACACTCCTAAAGGCATTTATTGCTACAAAGTAATGCCTTTTGGCTTGAAGAATGCTGGCGCCACATATCAAAGGGCAATGCAGAATATCTTTGACGACATCCTCCACAAGAATGTGGAATGCTATGTGGATGATTTAGTGGTGAAATCAAGAAAGAGAGGAGACCACTTACAAGGCTTAAGAATGCTGTTCGAATGACTCCGGCGATATCAACTCAGAATGAACCCGTTGAAATGTGCCTTTGGAGTTACTTCTAGAAAATTCCTTGGCTTCATTGTTCGACATCAAGGGATTGAGATAGATCAAGCCAAGTTGATGCCATCTTGAAAATGCCCGAGCCCAAAAATATACATGAACTGAAAAGTCTACAAGGAAAATTGGCGTACCTTAGAAGATTCATCTCAAATCTAGCAGGGAAGTGCCAACCTTTTAGCCGGCTCATGAAGAAGGGTATACCTTTTGAATGAGACCAAGCTTGTAGCAATTCATTCCAAAGCATCAAATCCTACTTGATGAAACCTCCAGTTCTGGTAGCCCCTATACCAGGAAAGCCATTGATTCTATATATTGCAGCCCAAGAAAGGTCAGTGGGAGCCCTTTTGGCCCAGGAAAATGGTGAAAATAAAGAAAATTCCCTCTACTACTTGAGTAGGATGATGACCCCAAATGAGCTAAAGTATTCTCCGATCGAAAAGTTGTGTTTAGCGTTGGGTTTCGCAATTCAAAAGCTGAAGCACTACTTTCAAGCTCATGTCATCCGTCTCGTCTCAAGGGCGAACCCGATCAAGTTTGTTATGTCAAAACTCGTCCTGAATGATCGATTAGCAAGGTGGTATCTCCAATTTCAACAATTCGAGATTGTGTATATCCCACAAAAAGCCGTGAAAGGACAAGCTTTGGCAGATTTCTTGGCATATCATCCAATTCCTGATGATTGGAAGTTGACTGATGAACTACCTGATGAGGATGTGATGGTCATCGAAGTGCAACCACCGTGGAAAATGTATTTTGATGGTGCCGCACATCGTGAGGGAGCTGGTGCAGGTGTTGTGTTTGTCACTTCTCAAGGGGAAGTCTTGCCATATTCCTTCACCTTAACACAACATTGCACCAACAACGTTGCGGAATATCAAGCACTTATACTTGGGCTTGAGATGGCCGTTGAAATGAGACAACTCCAATTACATATTTTTGGAGACTCTGAGTTAGTGATCAATCAATTGCTAGGTAGCTACAAGGTCAAAAAGCCAGAGTTGCGTCGTTATTATGATTATGCACAAAAATTGATTGGATGGCTTGGCAATGTAACTCTTTAGCATGTGCTAAGGAAGGAAAATAAGAAGGCTGACGCCCTAGCTACTCTAGCTTCAACATTGACTCTGCCTGGCCAGACACAAATCACTATCTGCCAAAAATGGATAGTGCCGCCAGATGAGAACGAGGATGAAGAAAGCAAGCTCGAGCGTTTGGTAGCCGTCGCTGAAGCTGTGAAGGTTGATTGGCGACAAACCATGATCGACTACTTATGTTATGGGATACTTCCAGAAGATCCAAGAAGAAAGACCGAAATTCGTCGGCGTGCCCTTTGCTTCCTTTACTACAAAGACACTTTGTATCGAAGATCATTTGAGGGAGTTCTCTTGCGTTGTTTAGGGGAAGATGAAGCAACTCAAGCTATGCGAGAGGCACACTCTGGAGTTTGTGGATCACATCAATCCAGGCCAAAGCTCCACTTCCACATTAAGAGGATGGGTTACTACTGGCCGACAATGGTGAAAGATTGCTTAGATTATGCTCGGAGATGCAAGGCTTGCCAGTTTCACGCAAATTTTATACACCAACCTCCTGAAATGTTACACCCTACTGTTGCATCTTGGCCATTTGATGCTTGGGGATTAGATATTGTTGGACCACTTCCAAAATCTTCTGGAGGACATCTATACATCTTGGCCGCAACTGATTATTTCTCAAAATGGGCAGAGGCCGTCGTTCTCAAGGAAGTGAAGAAAGAGAATGATGCAAACTTCATTCGAGTGAACATCATATATAGTTTCGGCATTCCTAGTTATATAATAACAAATAACGGCAAACCATTCGATAACAAATTGATGACCAAGATCTGTGAACTTTTTGGCTTCAAGCAACATAATTCGTCAATGTATTATGCTGCTGCAAATGGACTAGCCAAAGCATTTAACAAGATGCTTTGAAACTTGTTGAAGAAGTTTGTCTCCAAGTCTAAAAGAGATTGGCATGACAGAATGGAAGAAGCTTTGTGGGCATATCGTACGACTCATCGCACGCCGACACAAGCAACTCCTTATTCTCTTGTTTATGGAGTCGAAGCAGTTCTTCCTCTTGAGCGTCAAATACCGTCCTTGTGACTCGCTGTCCAAGAAGGTCTTACTGAGGAAGAAAATGCTCGCCTGCGCCTTGAAGAACTTGAGTCCTTTGATGAAAAANCTGTGAACGACACCCAAAAAAAAGGGAGTCCGCTAGGTCAAAAACCTCAAAAGAGGCGGCCTAGGCAAAAGTTAGGACACAAAAAAAAAATCTCACCTATTTTGAACTACGTTATGACTTGATCCTCTTCAACGAGGTACGTAGGCAGCTTAGAGTTTTATTCTAAGTTCAGTCGCATAAGCTTAAAAAAAATGTGTGGAATACATGATTCATGCGAATCTGGAAGTTCACTGTAGTCGCGTCAACTTCGTGAATTTTCTGTTCACAGTACGAAAATAGTTCTATTATGAAATTTATATTAGTTTTAGATCTCCGGGCCTTTTTTCTAACGATACATACGGATTGCAATTCCGACACTCGAAGCTCAAGATACAATTATTTTCGCCGAAGGTATGCAAATCTGAAAATTCACTGCAGTTGAGTCGACTTCGTGAATTTTTTGTTCATAGTCCGAAAAGAATTCTATTATGAAATTTATATGAGTTTTTAGATCTACGGGCCTTCTTTCTAACGGTACATACGGATTGCAATTCCGACACTCCAACCTCAAGATACAATTATTTTTGCCGAAGGTACGCAAATCTAAAAATTCACTGCAGTTGAGTCGACTTCGTGAATTTTCTGTTCACAGTCCGAAAAGAGTTTTGTTATGAAATTATAAAAGTTTTAGATCTCCGAGTCTATTTTCTGACATCGCAAACGGCTTGTGATTTGGATGCTCCTATCTCGAGATGTGATTTATTTTGTGCAGAGTGCGCAAAGCTGTGAGCTAAACACGGGCCAGACGTGTAGATCGACTTTGAAAATTAATTCCAGCTGATACAAAAGGAGATTCGTGCTAATTTTTTGATACGTTTCAGTCCTATGAGTCTAGTTTCGGTAGAAGCAAGCGGCTTATTATTTGAAGTCTCCTACAGCAAAATATGAATTCTTTTTCGCGAAACAACAAAACCAACATACAAGACATATGCTGAAATTTAAGAAGGAAATAGTTGGGAGTAACAGAGGGAATCCAGGTCTCAAAGAGAAATATCACATATTAAAAAAAATAAAGATACTTTTATTTCTCCAAGACATAAGTACTCCATTACATGATATTAGTTGTAAAAAAAAATTGCAAGTCGAGAATCCTAAGCAAAAAAAAAAAAGAGAGAGAGAGAAAAAAAAAAACTCTAAAATCATGGGAAAGGTTTGAAGCTAAGGATTTGTTGGCGGCTTGTCTCAACTGCCCCTTTCAGGAGGGATAATTTCTCTGCTTCATCGTCAGATAATTGATGATTGACTTCAATGGTATAAATCTCCCCTTCGGTAACGTCAACGTTCTCTTGACTTTTAGCCAACTTCACCTGTTGTTTGTCCAAGAGTGCGACGATCTTCTTCTTTCTGGAGGCCAAGGAAGCTAGCTGTTGTTCAACATTCGCAAGACTAGCTTGAAGTTTTTCTACGGACTCGCTCACTTTTTCATATTCCTATTTTGCATCATCGAGGCGTCGTCGTGCATAAGAAAATGACTCTTGGTGAAATTCTTTAGTCATCTTGGACGATCTTAAAGCATCGTAATCTGCGTACGTCTTGAAGAAAGCCTCGACAAGAGCCTCTAAGGTAGAAGTATCAATAACATTTTCTTTCTTAATTTCCTTAAGACTCAAAGCAATACTTTCCTTCAACTTTGTGAAGCTATCCAGAGAATCAAGAGAGAACTCTTCGATCCATTCACACAAGGTATGCCACATTGTGTTAACAAAAGAAAGTTTAATACGGGAAATAGTCTCTTGTGGCTTAAAGTTTGGAGCATCAAGATGAAACGGCCATGGAGTAGGCTTGAAGGTTTTTAGACGTTTTTCTTGTCTTTCAGCAACCTCCTTCTTACTCGTCATGGCTGGCTTGGAAAGCACAACATCTTCTGGAAGAACGAGGTGCGGCTCTTTAGGTAGACTCAAATCTGTCGACGGAGCATTATTTGTAGCATGATGTTCAACACCATCAAATAAAGTGTGAGGACTTTTTGTGGCCACACCGAGGGGATTTGGGCTTGTAACACAGTCTTCCACCGTGTCTTCACCAAGTACGTCATCATACAACTCATTGACGCCCAACTGCAAAAAAAAAAAACAGCAAACTTTAGTGTTAAAAAAAAGGAGTAAATTTGAAGGAAATAATATTTACTCGTTTCTCCAGTTTAGACAACGGCATTGTTGAGCTAGGGTCACCCTCTACGAAAAATCCAGTATCGATACTAAGAGCATCCAAGTCAGCAAATTCACTATGGCTCGTGTCCTTAGCCTTCTTCTTTGAATGATTCCAATGTATGTCGTGACTAACATCACTCTCGTTCGAACTGGAAGTGGAACTAACATTCAAAATCTCATTGGGCAAAGCAGAAGCTTGAGTCCTTTCCTCGTTTGTTGGCACGACATTGGTTGTCTTCGCAACATTTTTGTTTGGTGAAGTAGGAGGCGCTTTCCTTTTGCAAGGATTGTTTGTCACCTCTACAGTGGCAGTAGTTGTCTTGGAAGTCAACAAAACATGTTTAGCTCCTTTGTCCACATGGGCTTCCCCGCCCGTCAAAGGGGTAGACTTGGGTAAGACCTTGGTGCTTGGCGAAGGATCTTTCGATCTTAACTTGGACTTGGAAGACCCTTCGTGAGTGTTCTTTTGACGTTATCATCTTTGGAGGATAAAGGAATATCATCTTTTCTTGGAATTTTCAAAATGATATGAGTACTTTGTCGGGAAGAGTGCACTCGATGAGCTGACCACCAATCTGCATACTCACGAGTCATTAGATGTCCCTCCTCTGATGGATGCGTAGGGACAATAACCTTTGATGAACCTCCAAGACGAACACAGGAGTCCCAGAATTGCACTAGCATTCTCAGTGAGCCGTTATAGGGTCGCTCTATGAGGTTGCCAGGAACATCTTGACAAAAGCCGAATTGACGACTAAACCTATGCGGGCTATAAGATTCCACAATATGAATGTCGTCATGCCTAAGGGTGATGAAGCTTGAGCGAAAACTTATAAAAAAGTCACTCCAAGAATTCGATTGTTCGTCACGATCGGTAAGATGCAATTCCCTCCCTTGTAACATAGCCAAATGGTGAAACTGTCGCGCACTAACTTAATGAAACAACTCACGGGCATTACTAAGGTCAAAATGCTTGGCCATCTTCTCGCCAGAAACCTTGCACATTTGCGGACCTCGTTGTGGACGCTTAACACGATAGTAGGTGTCAAAATATGCTCCTATCCATCCATATATGTAATGAATAGGAAAGAGTGCTTTGTAGGCATCCAAATCTTGAGAAGTGGAGACCTCCTTCAAGCCGTGATAAATACTTGCAAGGACGGGAACTGCCAAGGAAAACTTCTCTCCATGAGCCATCAGACTCGCGATTTTGAAGACACTAGCACGAATGTAGTCGATCTTCTTGTTGGGGAACACAAATTTGCAAAGCCAACATGCAAGGAAAGCCGCCAAATAAGTCTCAGCTCTAAGTGACTCCTCCACGCCAAGCTCAATAAAGGGGGCATTCTCCTCATCGGTTCGTGGTAGGAAGCTCGCGTCAATATTCCCAGAAGGATTATGATTCAACTTCGGCCTNCCCATAAGGATTATGATTCAACTTCGGCCTTGTAGTCCGATTCCTTGATGACTTTTGCGGAGGCTTGGCATACCTACTCGGGCCTCGAAACCAAAACTCCACCCAATCACGAATGGAGACCTCGTGGACATCATCCTTCATGAGTTTGTAGAATGCCGAGAACAGGTGCAGACAACTTCTTGGGAGGAAAGGTTTTCCTTGATCGTCTTCTTGTGTCAACTCCTTAGCCGAGGGGATAACTTCGTCGTAGAAAGACCCATGCACCGGAAGGCCTCCGATTGCTCGAAAGTCCCACAAAGAGATGGAGAGTTCACCAATGGAGGTAGAAATTGTGTTGGTAGATGGACGCCAAAGCTCACAAAAGGCACGGAGGACATTCTCATTGTAGTCATATGTGAACAACGAAGCAAAGATGGCGTCATAGACCTTGATGCCATCCAGAGTCAACTTGTTGCTGGCAAGAACATCTTCTACCCACTCCCAATATTTGGACGTATAGCGAACTTCACCAAAGCCGGAAGGAGGAACACTCCAAGTGGTGAGACGTCCATCGTAATCACGATGAGGAGGACTAGCAGACGCGGCCTTTTGATGGGTGGAGGACTTCAAAAGTAGGACCTTCATGTTGGTTGCTTTGCCCGAAAATCTGTCCAATGCATCCTTCGTCTTTCTAGTCGACCATTCTGCAAGATCAAGGGAGGCGTCAAGCGGCTTTCTAGTGAGCGGGAAAGCACCTATCACCGGAGGATGAACTTTTAAAGTTAGAACTTCGGCGTGCGGACTCTGCTTGTCGCTAATAATCTCAAGGTGTGGGTATGGTGTATCATGGTCGATGAAATGCATCCTTGCTGATGGAATTCACAGCCCTATGTGCTGCTCCGAGAGTCTGCGAAAAAAAAGGGGGGAAGAATCTATGGAAAAAAAACAGCAAGACAGAATGGGGCAGCATGTCATAATACGTTGCCTAAATTCGAGAAAACATCTGGGAATATATCAGCATATTCTGATTATGATTTTTACTTATGTCGTAGATCTGGAAGTCTAGTTTCTGTCTCCGCAAACTGCTCATGATTCCGGCATTCCTACACCAAGATATGATTTTTTTTATTAAGACGCGCAAAACTGAAATGTCGAGCGTGAC